TTACATAAGTGCACTTCAAAGCACGAACAAGCAAGCAGCTCAAAGAGACATTTTTGCCGTGGGCAATCACTCTCTAGTGACTCATTCCAAGTGACCTTGTTTGCTCATTAGAAGCTCTAGATGCATCTTACAAATGTCAGGGAACTTTAATTTTCTTTTTTAAAGACGGATGTTATCTGAATGTTGATGTTAATCTTCCCAAGATTTCAAGGCATATCAATCCCTATTTACATTGCTATTGAACTGACATATTCTTCCCTTCTTGTGTGAACCTGCATTAGTACATCTTTGCTCAACCTTTTAAATTGTTTTCATGCCTTATATACAATATGCAAATCTAAGCATATTGCATCTTTGCACATATTAGGATAAAAGAAAAGAGTCTACCTAGTAGTCAATGAATAACTTACTTACACATTTCACTGGGCATTCTTCTGAATTATCAACCAAAGTAAACATCGCGGTTTGATGTATATAAACCAGAAAGAATCATACTGAACTACAGTATATTCTTTTTGTTGTTGATTTGTCAACAACAGGACCACTACAAATGGGTTACCAATTGCATAAACTCAACATATTTTTCTTTTCTAGTCCTCATTATTGAGTCTTTTTAGTGCTTTCCATCTTTCCTTTGCCCAGGCTGTTAAAGAGTAGCACTTTACTCTGTTCCAGCAATATCTTAAAATATCCTTAAATATTTATAAATATCTTAAAATATCCAACCTAGAACTAAGAATAAAATTCCTAACCATGAGAACAATTAATCAATGGAACGGCTTAGCTCTGAAAGATGTGGGTACTCCATTACTGGAGGTTTTCAAGAACAGTGTTTGTCCAGAATAGTATAGAGCAGTGGTTCTCAACCTTTTTAATGCCGCGACCCCAACCGGTCGTAAGTCGAGGACTAAACCGGTCGTAAGTCGAGGACTAAACCGGTCGTAAGTCGAGGACTACCCAACCGGTCGTAAGTTGAGGACTTTCTCTGCCCGGGAGCGCCGCGCATGCGTGGTTCCGCCCCCTGCGCCGGCCGAGGCGTAGTTGGCAAGCGGCAGAGACGGAGCAGGCCGACCACCAGCTGGCCCAGCTCAAGGGAGGTAAGGCACCCGCCGGAAAAGGGGAAAAAATGGACAAAAAAAATGGCGGACAGTCTTGCTTGGCGACGCCCGTGAAATGGTCGATCGACCCCAAATGGGGTCCCGACCCACAGGTTGAGAACCACTGGTATAGAGCCTCCTGCTTGGACAGGGACTTAGACTAGAAGACTTCCAAGGTCCCTTCCAACCTATTATTCCATATGCTATGTTCTATCCTCCATTGCTGTCCACATAACCTTTTTTTAAAGTCCCACTTGTTGTTTATGAGACATATACATCGGTATTAAAGCTAGAGAGAAAAGATACTAGTTATCCACTTCTCATACTCAATTCATCTCAATTAAATCATTCTAATGCAAATCTAGGCTAACAATCTCCACAGATAATAGAAATTATTTTAAGAACTATTTGAACATGGCATTTATGTTGTTTATTTATAACTGATAGGAAGGGCTCTTTCCTCTGGATTTTTTAAATATTTGTTTCACAGTGTCATCATATTCCAGTACCACATTTCCCAATAAATACTCTTTTAAAATTTGATTTTTAAAAGGTATGCATGAATGGGTGGTATATGTAGGAACAAGAATTTAAGTTTTATATATGCGGTAGGTGGTATTATTAACTTATAGTTCCGCCAACTATCATGGATCTCCAACAGGTTTACCTCAATTATATTTGGCCTTTGGCTACTACTGCTATGTAGTTGCTTCTGTGAGACTAGGCTCAAGCTGCCATACCTAAAAATAAAGCTGGCACATAAGGAGGGTAAACAAAAGCCAGGGATCTTGTTTAAAAAGGTCCCTTAGAGGAGGTAGTTAAGAGGGAACCAAGTAGCTAAGGAAACAAATGAAAAAATGTCACATGAACTGGACAAAAGAAGTTTGGTCTGGACACATGGAAAACTCATTTCCAAGTCCCATGAATAGCTACCAGACTTGAAAATTAACAAGGCAAGAGCAGCTGCCAGTCTTCTGAATCAACAGCACGAGGACTTCGGGGGACAATAGGATTCCTAAACCTCATCTACTCTTTCAGTCCTCTTTGGATTCAGACTTGGCAACTTCCATCCTTCTGGCTAGTACCAGCATAGACTAAGCTAAATTAAAAAAAATATGAAATAATTCCTGGAAACTGAACATTCAGATAACTTAGCAATCAACAGGCACATAAGCAATATTTACATAACTTTCAAAAGAGATAATAAACTAAAAACGAAACAAAAGCAACAACAAAAAGAGAACATAAGCTACCAGCAATCAACATCCAGATAAGTAGGGATTAACACCAGGACTGACAAATATCTATGGAGATTCTCAGTCATCCAGGTAATGGTTGTCTCAAAGGTGCTTTTTCACGAGGCAACTGGACTTTCTTTCCCCCCCTCTCTTTGAAGATGTTTTGCTTCTCATCCAAGAAGCTTCTTCAGCTCTGATTGGATGGTGGATAATGGAAAGTAGTGCAAATGGGTGTGGAACCTTCTTGGAACTGTTCAATTTTGACATAGATGGTCTCTTATTTGTCCTCTTACTGTAGACTTTGCTGTCTTCGAAAGAGTGGCCAAAGAGGCCATCTATATCAAAATTGAACAGTCCTCTCTCAACAGAGGGGGAGGGATACGACATCTAATAATAATAATAATAACAACAACAACAACAATAATAAAGTTGGAAGGGACCTTGGAGGTCATCGAGTCCAACCCCCTGCTCAGGCAGGAACCCTAAACCATTTCGGACAAATGGCTGTCCAGTCTCTTCTTAAAAACTTCCAGTGTTGGAGCATTCACCGCTTCTGGAGGCAGGTTGTTCCATTGGTTAATTGTTCTAACTGTCAGGAAGTTTCTCCTTAGTTCTAAGTTGCTTCTCTCCTTGATCAGTTTCCATCCGTTGCTTCTTGTCCTGCCTTCAGGCGCCTTGGGGAATAGCTTGACTCCCTCTTCTTTGTGGCAGCCCCTCAGATATTGGAACACTATCATATCCCCCCTCGTCCTTCTCTTCGTTAAACTAGACACACCCAATTCCAGCAATCGTCATCAACACAGTCCTTTCAATAGTTCCAAGAAGGCTCCATGCCCATTTGCACCACTCAGGTGACCCTGATGATACAGATAAGCCTCCAGGTGGCATCAATGATTCTCTAAAAGAATGCAAATGATCAGCTGTCTGCAAGAAGTATAAATCCTTCCATTTCCCACCATCCAGTCAGAGCTGAAGAAGCTTCTTGGATAAGAAGCAAAACATCTTCAAAGAGAAAAAGAAAGTCCAGTTGCCTCATGAAAAAGCATCTTTGGGACAGGACTGACAAACAATCTAGCAGTAAATAAGGAGGTGCCCTGGTGGAGTGATAGTTAGAATGCAGTATTGCAGACAAACTCTGCCCACAGCCTGGAGTTCATCCTGACAGTGCTCAAGGTTGACCCATCCTTCCATCCTTCAGGGTGGTAAAATGAGGACCCGGATTGTTGGGGGCAACATACTGACATTGTAAACAGGTCAGAGAGTGCTATATAAAGCATTATGGGGAGGTATATATTGTAAGTCTAAGTGCTATCGCTAAATAATATCTTAATTAAGGAATTGCATGCTCAGATAGACAATCAAGCACTAAGCATCAGCCTAATCAAGGAACTAACCACAGATGCTACTTTTATGCCGCTGTGCCTTTTGAAAGTTTTTTGCTTTTTGAATCTCGTCTAATCTTATACCTTACTGTAAGCATAAGACAAAACTGTGGACAATGGTTGATGAATTCTAGGTTCTCTTGTTTCAGTAGTCCACTTTTTCTCAGATTATTTTGGTTGCCTAAGATTTGATGTGGACCTGGTTAATTTGGATAATCTCCAAATCTGCATGACTTCTCCTAGTTCAGTGATGGCGAACCTTTTAGAGTCCGAGTGCCCAAAGTGCAACACAAAACCCACTTATGCATCATCGGGTGCCGGGTGGGTGTGGCCCATTGGCTGGGTGTGGCCAATTGGGTGGGCGTGGCCCATTGGGTGGGCGTGGCTGCGGTGGTAACGGCAGACTGGGTGGGACTAAAAAGTTCAATCAATCAATTCCAACTTTGCAAGATTTTTTTTCCCCGTGAGAAATTGAAATTGACTGATTGATTGAACCTTTTTTTTTTTTTTTTGCACACGGTGGCGGAGGCCTAAAGTGAAAAGGTTTTATAAAACCCAGCTGAAGGCATAGGACTGGGCGACGGCACGCGTGCCCACAGAGAGGGCTCTGAGTGCCGCCTCTGGCACCCGTGCCATAGGTTCGCCACCACTGTCCTAGTTATTATTATTCTCATAATTGAGATAGGTAGATGATGCGTAAAGGGTCTCTTGTCCAAGAACCTCTACTGATAAGATAGGTACCAGCCGGGATTTGAACCCTGTATCGAAGACAGTCCTCTAACCACTAGACTATCTGAATCTATATATCATCTATTTCTCTCTTTATTTTCTAGCTATATTTGATTTAAACAATATTTTGAAATAGAATATAGATATTTTTGCCAGTGTAAGCTTACCTTTAAGAATGACATTTAAATTTGGTTCTATAACTACCCAGTGATTTTAAAAAAAATAAATTTAAGTTGTAGTATACTTTTTTAATGTTTTACAGTTATATTACACACACACATATATACACACATACATATGTGTTTAAAAATGGTCATTGACTGTTTTCATTAAGTTGAAACCAAAATTGTCTTCCATTGAAATATCACTTTGAATAGTGTGTACTAGAATAATGTGACTATTTTGTGGGATTCATTATAAAAACTAATTGAGACCTATCTATATGCCAAAATAAATGTAAAAATAGCGGAGGGTGATGTCATCCTCTTTTCCATAAATTATCATTCACTGAAATATGTGAAACAGAATATAATGAGATGTAGAAAAAAGGATATTTTCCTGGTGTTTCTACACCTACACGGTAATCCGTGTAACTTTGGGATGGATGAAAATTAAATATAAATAGCAGATTTGCCCTTTCATAAGCAATAACTTTGTTTAATTCATGCTTTTCACACACATAGGCCTGCAAGGAATAATAAAAAAGGAATATTATATACTGTTTAATTTGAACACAAACTTGATACAGACAAAAAAATATTTGCCAGGAAACCTCTCTGTGAGTGTCCTTGAAGAACTTTTTGTTTCTCTCTGCGTATCATGCAAACAGAAGGCATTAACACACTTCATTGTGCCATTAATTTAAATTACTTAAGTTTAATAAGTTTTTGTATTGAATTAAACATTAATTACATTTACTAACTGGAACAAGTAAGCATATGGTTTAGTTTAAAGTTAACAAGATTCTTGATGATCACAAGAAGCAAAAATACAATAATGTATCAGAAAGTGAAACATTTTTGTATTTCACATTTGCTTTTATTGCAAAGAAAATTGTTGTATCTAACCAATAAACCTGTTGAAAAATATGAATAGATTTAGCTCTAGATAGCTTTTTAAGGGCATGTTTTCAAATAAATCAAATTGAGGAAAATGTTATCTTGAATATAAAATTTTAGAATCAAGACAAATAATTTGTCTGAAACTGTCTTAAACATGCAATATCTAATAAAGTTTCTTAATTTTTTAAAATGCAATTTCTTTCGGATTAAAGTGCTGAAATGTACATAGTGCTGAAAACTACTATATAACATTTAAAAATTATATATACTTTACCGGAGGTGATGCAAGCCAGCCGAACTTTTCTTCCAATTTATTCATATTTCTGTCAAACACATTTAGGAATCTATAGCGAAGAAGCTGATCATCAGCTAAATTAAACTGTCTCCTTGCATAATGGTAGCTTTCATTATTGCCTTGTCTAGGAAAATCTAACCATTCTGGATGTCCAAATTCATTTCCTATTTTTTTTAAAAAAACATGGAAAGACATGAAAAATAAATGGATCTTCTGTAAATATCCTTGGAAAACGTATTTAAATATAGTTGCAAAACAAAACCCTGAAACAATGTTTAAAGCTGTTGTTACAATGTAAATGTTGAAATCTTTAAACTATCTATGATATACTTACTGTAAAAAATTGTGTTCCTAGATACTAAACAAATTGAGCAAGTTTGTACTCCTCAATTACCATGTACTGTTTAAAAATCGCAACAACTTAATGACTAGTAATTTAAAAATTATTACTCCAACCTATTTGTCATTATATATTAGATTTTTGAGGAAAGTAGAATTGAAATAAATCAATCAACATGACTTGCTACAAAATATAATGGATTATAGAAGAAATTGAGCAGACCATGACATGTTTGAACTAATTATTACTCTCAAAGTCACCCAAAATATTGGATGAAAAAAGGAAAGCAGCATCTGCTCAGATATTGTCTTTTGCAATTCTCTCTAGTTGAAAACCTTAGACCTGTAGGCTAGAAAAGGTAGGAAATGAAGTTCCAAATATAGTTGATATAAAAAGGATTTTCAAGAGTGGTTTTGCCTCCTTCTTAGGGCTGAGGAAAAGTGACTGGCCAAGGTCAGCCAGCTGGCTTTATTTCTTAAGGTGGGACTAGAACCCATGGTCTCCCAGTTTGTAGGCTGATGCCTACACCACTGTAGGCTGATCACTACACCAAATTGACTCTCAAGGGGAGTCATATACTATTATCCTAATCATTGTGTTGACAGGCTACGAAACATGGATTTATATGTTTTTCTGTTAATATATTTTGCATATTTTTTTCAAAATGGTAGCATAGCATCTCTGGCCTTAGCTATAACATGATAATAACTTTAAGTAAACTTTAAGTAAAATCACAACGGTATCATTTGCCACTTGATTGTAGCAAAAACAAAACATTAATTTGTGTTTCAGTTTAGGCCATAGAATAAATGTTGAAGATTTTATATGATAATTTAATATACTGTACATATTAACAAGAATAAGTCTACATACCTATAGAAAAAACAGTAAAAGGAACAGTAAAGTAAACGGAAACTCTTATGCTCTTATTATTTAGTTCTCTAATGGTAACATGACCATAATCTAAGGTTGTTTTGATTTTGTCTAGAAATTTAATCACGTAGTATTCTAGATTACTGAAACTTTCTCCTAGATTTCTAAAGCTTCCATTTAGATGCAGATTTGATAAGCAGGAAGGGACAAGGAATTCAGAAGTGAATGTTTTTAAAAATGTCCTAGTCACCTGAAGATTAGGGAAGACAATAATTTCCACATTTTTTTCCTGTTCTAATGGTGACAATTTGATAGATATGACGTACTCACGTTGCTCTAGTATAGCTAAATTTTCTGCAAAAATATGTGTAGTAAGACTACTACAAATACTGAAGTCTACAATTATTTTTTTGTAATTGAATTCAATACACTGAACCTACAGTAAAATAAGAAAGGTAGTAATATCCTAAGATTTTCAAAGCTAGAACATGTTTGTTTTATTATAAAAGGGTACCTGAGAGGAAATGAATATTTGGAGATTCAATAAAGGATTTATTTTGTGATCAGGTTTTCAAAGTAATAGATTTATTTACAAAATTATAACACAAAATCCACAGAAATAATTGTAATCCAGAACTGAAATGATTTCATATAGTTCTTTGTCAGTACAAAATCAGTACAAAGTACATTTACAGTAAATGAAGACTACTACTAGAATTCTTCAGGTATTTCAAAACTCACTTGCAGTTACCACTGATTGAGAACAGTTTATCTAGAAATGTTATCAGCATGCCTACAAAACCTGGGTGATCCACTAGATACTTAATTATACTGCAAAGAAAACTGAAAGAGGTGTCAAAATTGACAAGCAACAAAGCTATCTGGTACCTTCATAGCTTAGTGCAAAAATATGCAAAATAACCCTGTCAAGATATTTTTGCAGACTCCTCCAGACAGACTAGCTCTAAAAAGAGCCATTAAAATTGTCATTTAAAAATATGAAAAAATGAACTTCCCAAATGACAGCTGTCAAGCTTCATGAATAAATTAATATGTATGAGGCAATAGACATGCAAAATTATAATACATGATTATTTATATCCTTATAGGCTACTATTACACACACACAAACACCAAGTGTAAACATATAAATGACTAAGTTCAAAATTTTATCTAGGTCTATGCTGCACATTTATTATAAAAGAGATAGAGTTGTCTAAAATACCATTATAACAAAAAAACACACAGGAAGTAAAGCCCAAAAATATAAAATTCACCAGAAGTATATTTCCAAGTAGACATTAGTATACTCCTTTAGAAAATAGGTTTCTTGCATGAGGAATATACTGACTTTAAAAGAGTATTTTCTTTAGAGTTATATATTTTCATATTAATAATTTGCAACCTATTTATCATGAAGATGCATGATTTCCACTGTAGCTTGTACAAAATGATGAATCTTTATAAATGTTGCTCTGTAAGCATCAAGAATTTTCTAAAGGCGGTATCCCAACATAAAAAATGCTAGCTTGATCCAAATTTGCATTAGTTTTTCCTACATCATCAAATAACATGATTGGTTTTCCCCCCAAACTAATTATATCTATGTTATCAAATCTGGATCAGGTCCCATAAGTTAAAAAAAGTTTCAAATCTACAAATTAATACATGGACAAATAAGTTTTTAATTTTTTTTTGTATAAATGCTTTATCTTAAGATAGTGTTTGGCATTTTATATACAGAAAGCATGTGGCCCTGGCTCTGGTCCTAAACAATGATCGATCTTCAGTAGTAACAATGTTGCATGAACAATGAAATTCATGTGAGTGTATGTTTCTACTGAGCAAATTAAATTTACCCAAACATCACTCACTTAAGTTTTCAATTGAAAATACATTTTCTAAAATTACATCAAGTTGGGCCACAGAACAAATACATATATTTATAGTGTAGATTGGCAAATTACAATGATAAAAAAATGCTTAATACTAATGTTATAAAAACATGCTTAGTCACATCATTCCTTATTGCTTTTAAAAAAATATATTATAAATTGTCTATTAACCATTTTTAAAAAATGGAATACTAGGAAAGCTACTCCTCAATTTAAGATCTCAATTGAGCCCAGAATTTTTAATTATGTCATTATGGTTGTTAGGTCCATGTGACCCTCTAGCTCAATGATGACTCTCCCCATCGTGGTTGTTAAGCAAATACGCAGGTTAAGTAGATGGGCCAAAAGAGCTGCCTTCTATGTGCAGAAGGAAACTGTAGCACTGGGCTGTAGAAAAGAAGTTAGATCTTCATGATCCCAGACTTTTCTTCAGCCAGCACTGTAGTTCCCCTCTCCTCTTTGTTCAGAAGAGAACTCCAGCACTTGGTTGCCAAAAAGAAGCTCAGATCTTTGTGATTCCAGCTTCTTTTCTCTGGCCCAGAGCTGCAGTTCCCTTCCTTTCTGTGTGCACAAGGCCAGATTGATTTTAGGGGTGAAATCCATCTGATAGGCAGCCCTTCCACTCTCAAATATGCTGGATGAAAAGGTCTGTGCTCAAAGTGGGATTTTTGGCACATAACTCTTACAGCAAGTCATTTTCAACCTGGATGGCTCCAAATACCCCATGCTGCAAGTGCCCCATGCCAAAATGCCTGCTGGCTTTCACTATGGACATTTTCAGCCAGTATCCTTGGGAGTTACTGGGCTGCTTGGTGGAGAGATTCTGCCTGGTGTGGGGTGAAATCAGTCTAGCAGGCAGCACTACACTCTCAAAGAAATTGACTGAAAAAGGTCCATCTGATAATAGATCCCGAATGACCTTTATCAGCCAGATCCTAGGAAACCAGAAGGAATCACCAGAGTTTTATTGCAATCATGTGACTTTGAGCACCAACTGTGTCTTCTTTCAGCACTATCATAATTTTAAATGGTCACTAAACAAATGATTGTTAAGTGAGGACTACCTGAATTCCTGCTTCAGATAGCAGTTGCCTTTTCATATGTTCAAACTGCATTTTTTAAATGTTATGAGAGGTAAAATTAATTGGCTAACACTACCAAATAGTATAAAAGTTATGTAATAAGCCACCACAAATATTACCATTGTAACAATGGCACAATATAAAATAACTGAATTTGTTTATTTATTTATAAAATTCATTTGCTGTCTCTGACTCTGTTCATATTCAATATGGATACCGTTCAACAATATACTGTATATTTTTAACCTGATTCTTCTCTAAGCTAAAAATATAGAAAAAATATAATTACGTTCTACGATTAAAAGCAGGTATGCATAAATCTACCATTTTTGGATAGTGTACAATATTTACCTCCGAAGTTGCTATGAAAATGGACTCCCTTTGGAACAGTAAGGTCAATTGGTGAGAGACAATAACAACATGCAAAACATGAGATCATTGTGAGGAATATACAGATAGTCCTCAATTTACAACAGTTCGTTTAGTGACTGTTTGAAGTTATAACAGCACTATTTTTATGAGGTTGCAGCATCCCTATGGTCACGTGATTTACATTTGGATGTTTGACAGCTGGTTCATATTTATGATGGCTGCAGTGTCCCATGTTCACGTGATCACCTTTTGCAACCTTCTGGCAAGCAAAGACAATTGGGAAGCCAGATTCACTTAACAACCATGTTATTAATTTAAAAACTTCAGTAATTCCTTTAACAAATGTACTAAGAAATGTTGTAAAATGGAGCAAAACTCACTTTACAAATTTCTCACTTAACAACATAATTTTGGGCTCAATTGTGGTTGTAAGTTGAGAACTACCTGTAGTTAATTAGTACAGAACTACTGATTTTGGAATTCTAAAAATGAAACAAATTGTTATGTAATTTGATAAAACCATAGGGAAAAAAATCCAATTTCACCTTAAGCTTTTTTTTTAATTAAAACAATTTTCAAATACAGTAATGAGTATATTAATCCTATTTCAACTACTATTACCAAGTGACTACTCTTTATGGATAGTCAGTACTGTGTAAAACTAAATATGTGGATTAGGACCAACCGCTGGATAGAGAAAAAGATGAGAAGACTGGAAAATGCTCAATGGTACTGGAGTAAATAATTAGTGATTACATATGATTCTGACTATGAAAAAGTCATATTTTGTTTCATTAAACTTACTTACATTGTATATTCCAAAATATCAAGACACTATTTAGAACACTCACAGTTGAAATGAAAAGTTGGACCTCTATAAAAAAATCCTCTTCTAAACATAAATCTGAGATCATAAATTGATATCAAAATCTAGGCAGGATGCCTATCCTGAAAAGTTATTTTTGCTTGAGATAAATAGCTTTGTATCCTTCAGTATATATTATAAACAAAGTCAGTAATACATACAAAAGCAAAGTATAAACTTATTATAAAGACTCACTTCAGGGCTTCAACAAATGCTTACAGGTAGTAAATGTGTTTCATTGCATATTGCTTTTCCCAATATGAGTAGGTTCAGAAAAGTTGATTTATAAAACATAGCTTTTAAAGTACACCATAATTATATAAACTGATAATATTTTGAATAAAATTTCTAGCAATCAACTTAACTACATAAGACATTATATATTCTAGATTGTTACATATTTAATGGCTCATTGAACAACAAAATGATCATTATTTCCTTTTCAAAAAATACAAACTGCAATTTCAAGAAATAAAAAGCAGGGAGAAGTACTCAGATATGAAACTATGATATGTGCATTACACAATAACAGAAAAAAATACTCCTTTAAAATTGGATATGTGTGATGAAAGTAATGAATTAGCACTTTATGCCAGGAAAATAAAATTGTTCAATTCACCTCCCAATTTACTTTCCTCTATTTACTTTGTCCTTTAAATTTGATCACTTGCAGAGCTGAACTGTCACTAGTACAATAAGAAAAACGCAATAAAATGTCAAAATATTTACAAATAATGATCCTCTTTACTTTCTTCAAACTCTGTCCATAACTCAGCATGGATACTGCATCACATACTTTATTTTGTTGTTTTTAACCATTTAATTGTCTCCAACTCTTGGTAACTTTATAGGCAAGTGGTCTCCATGCTATCCTGTCAAGCACAGCTTCTTTCAATTGATAGATGTTCAACTTTGCATCAGATTTGAAGTTATCAAGCCAGCATGTTCTTTGCTTGCCCCTTCTTCTTTGTCCACTAACCATTTCTAGCATAATTTAGCTTATCAGTTATGACTTATGCTTTCTTGATTTTCCTTTAGTTTGAATCATGACCAAAAAGCCCTTTCTTGTTATTGACTCTCATAGCAAAACATACTGATCTTTAGTATCACTAACCCTATCCTTGCAGTTTTCATTCTGTTATATGATCCTGTATGCCTTTTTTTAAAAAAAGAAATTTTTGTTTCTTAATTTAGAAAGACTATTGCTCACTCTAGAGAATAACTTATGCCAACAAAATATTTTTGATATATTGACTAAGTTGTTTTTTCTAGACTAGTCAGTTGATTTAAATACCATTCATAACAGTCTCTTTGCGGATCATCTGGCTGTGCTGAGATTGAAAGGCAAGGTATTTTCAAAAACTGTATTTCCCCAACTGGTATCAAACATAGTTTTCAGGAATTTGGTTCCCATCTATTACACAGGTTCATATTAAAATTAAACTTCTGCCACAATAAAATCAAAGTTGTCCTTAGCAGCATTCCAATATTAATCAAGTAAGCAATTGGAACAAATAGTGAAAATGCTTTCTTGTAATCATCTGGTACAAGTTTTATTTAAAAGGCAACAACAAGTCATTTTACTGCCATCTTGGGAACAATTATTTCAAGTTATTTAACTGAATAGCATTAGCACCCCAACATATATCACATGCATTATCTGAATGACTACAAAATAATGACTACCTTCCCCAAAAAGGTTTGGCCAGTCAGACTGTTTTTACTAGGAAAAAGAGAGATAAAATTCATAAATTACTACTTATCTACTTGAGTAGTTGAGATGCAACATATTTTGTGAAGATAAGTATATTTTTCTGCCTAATCTGCAACTAGCCATATAGAAATTTATTCTTGAAGCTGATAAGAAGTGACAGGACGTAAGAATGAATTACACAATATAAGAAAACAAAAATTAAAACAATTATTGCTTTATGTTTATGTAAATTAATATTTTTAGACAGCTAGAAGGCAGAAGAAATGCCTTCGGTTTATAACTTTGTTTCTGAAGAACTTGTTTATCTCTGACAGACTACAGAATAGTCTGAATGTTGTGCTTCTTTCAGCACAAATTTTAATATAAGCAGTGCCAGAAATAGCAGAAAAAGTCAAGCACATATGTTCAGTTTCATAACCAAATATAGTTAGCCAACATGAAGGAGAATAATGAGATTGCTAGGTTACTAGTTATTCTTATAAGTTATTAATATTAGCCCACATATTGTTCTGGATAAAATATAATTTAATACATCTATTTCAAATTTGACACTAGTTATACTTATCCAGTCATAAAAAGAGAACATTTTTATTTAGCCTACTATAAAGACAAAGATTCCAGAGCCATATGCCTTTGGTAAGAGAGTTACAAAAATCTCTAAATTAATTTGCCTCATATTTGTATAAACTAATAAAATATTATAATAGTTCAGTAATTATTCAATAGACAATACACAAGTCTCTTTCAAGGTTAATTATGCAGCATAATCAACCGTCTATGAATTATAATCATACTTAGGTTGTTACTGACTATGTCCTCAACTGGGAGCAAGATCCATGGAAATTAATGAAATCATCATTATACATGTAGAAGATCATAGTATGCTTTAGCCTTTAAGTTCAATAAACATGTCCAATTTGTAAAAAGAAAATGTCATCACAAGGTGTACTATGCTGAAGGAAATCAGAAGGTAATATTGCAGATGACTTACCCATGAAATTGAGGTAGCCTTCTCCTCCAAGAGAATGAGTAATGAGTCGTATCATTTTATGAAGCTGTATTCCTCGATCAATAACCGGTGTGAAAGGTGACAGAACACTCATATAGTTATACATCTCTGCATCCATCAGCCAAAAAGCCAAAGTCTTATCACCAACAAGGGCCTTAGTAAATAAATAAATGAGGCAGGGAAAAATCTTTTTATGATATTAATGTTTTATAGGACATAAATTAAAGACATCTTATAGTATATGGTATGCTATATTTATGGGTGATATGTATGTTTTTACTTTGAATTCTCACACTAGAGAGATATAATTGTTGTCTTCTATTATGCCCTCACTCATGACCCCCTCCTGTCCAAAGGGGTACTTTTTCATTCTATAGTCACATGATTTTCATCCATTCTTGTTAGAACAGTTTGTGTCAATTTTTGTTTTTTTTACAATCATTAAGGCACACTTGCTTGGCAAAGAGTCTCATTAAATGTCTTTGCTCTAGTCTCTGCTCTGCTTGGCAAAGTTTAAAAAAAAGCTGGTTGCAGCCTTGTTTGAGGCAGCTCTGATTCACGTAACCTTGTTTGAAACATTCATCTGATTTTCTATTTCTGAAGAATTATTGCCTTCTGCTTGTGTAAGAAACATGACACTTTGATTGTTGGAGTGGCTGATGAACCTTGCTTGGCTCTCTGAACATTGAACTGAATATTGAATCTTAACTACTGTTCTGCATGTTTCTGTGAAATATAGATTCATAGAATTATAGGACTGGATGGGATCTTGTAGGTCTTATAGTATGAAACTACTCAGGCAAGTTTTATCTCAAGAGATTTTGGGTTTGAAATCAAACTCTAATTTCTGTTCCTTTGTTTCTCTGTTTAGCCATTAGTAATTGCTTACCATTTTCTAACAACTCTGTTTATGTATGCATGTATGTATTTCGCTGTATATAAAATCAGGAATAGGAGAGTCTGAACCACATAAGAGCTAAAGCTAACTATAATGGTTGCCATGTATCTTCTGAGTTCCATGGAGGATGAAATCAATCATATACTGCTTTCTGGTGATCAATAATGGTCAAAAGCAAGGAAGTATGCTATTGATGAAAATTAATATTTGGGGATATTGAGTATTTGAGGACAATGAAATGGGTTCATTGGGTTCATCTCAGTATTGTCCCATTGAGTTAGTATTCATAATTCCTTAATAGGATTTTTTGGAAGAATAATATGGCTTAAAATTGATTTTCAACTACATATAAATAATCTGGAGTATATTATTATTTGAAGAATTACCGTATATATCTGTCAAGCACGGGGCATAGCAAAACATATTTTATATGTGAGTCTTTGGTCATTCGGGTTTTCTCCCGTGTAAGATTAGAAGTATCATAGCGACGTTTCGATGAAATCACATTCATCATCATCAGGCTTGTGCTTTTAGCTTTGTGCTTCTCAGAGTAATATGAAATGTCTGCTGTTTCTTTCTTTTAACTGCCAGTGGGGTTTGAACTGAGGGGGCGGGGACTTGGTC